GATCAGGCCGAAACCGGCTCTCTGACATCCCAGAGGGGTCCCGAATTGCGAGAGGGTGCAGGCTAGGCCGAGGGACCCCACTGGTGCACGATCAAGGCCGGGGAGGACTGTGGGAAGGCTCCAGAGTGTGTCTAGCCCATCTCACTCAGTCCTGATCAGCCGGACCCCAGCAGTAAGCTAACCCACCAGTCGCACCATCTTCCCCCTGGTGGTCAGTGCACATCATAGTGACTGGTCGACAGGTCAACTGTCTGCCCCCTGGTGGTCGTCAGTGCATGTCATAGTGAGAGGTTGAGCGGCCTTAGCATATCATTACTATATTATGCTTCTGATTGGTTGAATGGCCGACTGGCCGATCTGACACTTAGCATATTAGGCTTTTATTAATAGGACTAGAGGCCCGGTGCACAAAAATTTGTCCCTCAGCCCGGCCTGTGCCCTCTCGCAGTCTGGGACCCCTCGGGAGATAACGACCTGCTGGCTTAGGCCTGCTCCCGGGTGGCAGAGGGCAGGCCCAATCCCTAGGTGCAGCCCCTGGTCAGGCTCAGAGCAGGGCCGATTGGGGAGTTGGGGCACTGCAACCTGTCATGCACAGAGCAGGGCAGATAGGGAGGTTGCGATGCCACCCTCAGTCACGCTCAGGGTAGGGCCGATTGGGGGGTTGGGGCACCGCCCGCTGTCATACTCAAGGCAGGGTCGATGGGGAGGTTGCGGCACCACCCCACGCATAGAGCAGGGCCGATAGGGGAGTTGGGGCACCGCACCATCACACACAGAGCAGGGCCGATCAGGGGATTGGGGCGCCGCCCTCTATCACCCACAAGGCAGGGCCGATCAGGGGGTTGGGGCGCCGCCACTGTCACACTCAGGGCAGGGCCGATGGGGAGGTTATGGCTCTACCCCGTCACACACAGAGCAGGGCCCGTGGGGGGGAGGGGAGGGCGGTTAGGGCACCGCCCTCTATCACCCACAGAGCAGGGCCGATCAGGGGGTTGGGGCGCCGCCACTGTCACACTCAGGGCAGGGCCGATGGGGAGGTTATGGCTCTACCCCGTCACACACAGAGCAGGGCCCGTGGGGTGGGGGGGTTGGGGCGTCACACCCTATCACACACAGAGCCGCAGGGCGATCAGGGGGTTAGGGAGCTCCCCCCTATCAGGCACAGAGTAGGGCCGATCAGGGGGTTGGGGCACCTTCCCCTGTCAGGAACAGAGCAGGGCAGATAGGGAGGTTGTGGCCCCGCCCCCTGTCACACACAGAGCCGCAGGGCAATCAGGGGGTTTGGGCGCTGCCCCCTGTCACACTGATCCCGGTGCCGGGAGGCCTCGCAGCTCCGCTGATCCCGGTGCTGGGAGGCATATTACCCTTTTACTATATAGGATAGAGGCCTGGTGCACGTGTGGGGGCCGGCTGGTTTGCCCGAAGGGTGTCCTGGATCAGGGTGGGGGTCCCCACTGGGGTGCCTGGCCAGCCTGGGTGAGGGGATGATGGCTGTTTGCAGCTGGTCACACATCCTTCAGGGTGGGGGTCCTCACTGGGGTGCCTGGCCAGTCTGGGTGAAGGGATGATGGCTGTTTGCAGCTGGTCACACACCCTTCAGTGTGGGGGTCCCCACTGGGGTGCCTGGCCAGTCTGGGTGAGGGGCTGAGGGCTGTTTTCAGGCTGGGACTGAAGCTCCCAACTGCTCCTTTTTTTCTTTTTTCTTTTTTTATTCTGTGCCAGCTTTAGCTCTGAGGCTCCAGCTCTTAGGCATCTGCTGCTGAAAGCAGGTATCTGGTTTGTTTCGGTTCTATAATCGAAACTCTGTATCAATTCCAGCTCTGAGATCCCGGATCGCTGAAATCAGGTTTCTGGGGTTTTGTTTAGCTTCTATATTTGTTACAATGTTTTTTAAACTGCAGGCTCAGAGGCCGGCAAGGCAGGCGGGGAACGTTGGTTTCCTCCGTCACTGAAGCAAGCAAGCCTCATGTTAGTTTCAAGCTGCCTGGCTGCCGGCCACCATCTTGGCTGGCAGTTAATTTGCATATCTCGCTGATTAGCCAATGGGAAGGGTAGCGGTCGTACGCCAATGACCATGTTTCTCTTTTATTAGATAGGACTAGAGGCCCGGTACATGAAATTCGTGCAAGGGTGGGGGTGGGGAGATTGGGTTCCCTCAGCCCGGCCTGCACCCACTCCAATCCGCGACCCCTCTCACAATCAGGCACCACTGGCTCCTAACCACTCACCTGCCTGCCTGTCTGATTGCCCCTAACCCCTCTGCCTGCCTGCCTGATCGCCCCTAACTACCCTCCCCTGCTGGCCTGATCTCACCCGCAGCTGCCCTCTTCTGTCAGCCAATCTGGTTCTGATTGGTCAGTTTCTATGTCAGTCAGCGTCAAAAGCTCCGCCTCCTAGGCAGCCATTGGCTCCTCACAGTTACCCAGATTTGGTTCTGATTGGTCAGTTTCTATACCAGTCAGTGTCTCTAGGCCTATCAACGGGGCCTGATCAGAAAGGTGGGGCTGATGAGCAGCCCCAGTGGAGGCCTGGAGGCCTGGAGATAAATGAAGGCGCAGCTATTGGCTAGGCCAGGAGAGAAAGAGAGGCAAGTTCTGATCAACAGCTGCCACAGAGGCTATGGATCAGACCCTGCCTCTCTCTCTGCAGGCCTCTCTCCGGACCTGATCTGCAGCCCCCTAGGCCAGTGATGGCAAACCTTTTGAGCTCGGTGTGTCAACATTTTGAAAAACCCTAACTTAACTCTGGTGCCGTGTCACATATAGAAATTTTTTGATATTTGCAACCATAAAACAAAGACTTATATTTTTGATATTTATTTTATATATTTAAATGCCATTTAACAAAGAAAAATCAACCAAAAAAATGAGCTCGCGTGTCACCTCTGACACACGTGTTATAGGTTCGCCATCACTGCCCTAGGCAGTCAGTGCTGAGCCGGGGCGCCCACAGTGGCTCCAGTCAGTGCTGGGTCGCCACAACAACCCAGCACTGACTTCCGGTCTGGTCGAGCCTTTGATCATAATCGATCGTTATGACCCTGGCACTTTATTATATATATGAAACTTTTTTCTATTTTATGAGATAATGCATTTTGTTTTGAGTGAGTTTTAGTCATTACTTTTGGGAACTCACAATGTTCGCCGCCTCCTTCTCACACACCCCTCGATTCTCAACAGTTTCATTCCCTGTATCCTCAACAGGCCAGGCACAAGAGTTTGAACACTCCCTTCTTCTCTCACGTCACTTAATCACACATTCGGCAGATGTTATGACCCTTTATTTTTCTCACTGGGCTGTATTCATTTTACAAAAGGCCATCTAAACTCTCAAATTACACACTAAAAAATACTTCACCCCATCCCAAAATACAGGACCTAGGAAAAAAGAATAAAGGGTATATGTATAAGCTTTCTCTTTCTACTCTTTTTGCTCTAATTGATTTAAGAAAAGATAAAGTCCACGGATTCTAACATATTCATTACTCTAGTCTATAATGATGAAACTTTTATGTCTCAAATTTAATGCAGAATTTGAACTGTAATGACCTTTACGCAAAAAAAAATTGTAACCAATTTTCTGTTTCCCATCACTACAATTCATTGTGATATTCACAGCATAAACAGCAAGCCAACCTTAATTCCAAGGATATTATTAAACCCTAGACCACTGCCCTAGACTAATAAAGTCCTTATTAAGCATGCATATGGATCAGAGCCTGCTGAGCACCCTGCCAAAATACCTGAATTTAAAAATCTCAAAGAATTTCATGACTCTAATTCTTCAAGGACACAGTAGCTGTTGATTAAAATAGAAAAGAAAATAAACAGAAAAGAAACCCCTAGCCTGCATTATGTGACATAGGCATGAAGCTTGACTGCTCCACTGAGACATCAGATTTCTTAGGGCCCAGGAATCTGATGAGGCATCTGGGAGGACTGGGGACTCAAGAGTGCTCACCACTGGGACAGGACAGGACTTAGTCCTTAGCTTTTCTGGGGCAGATCATTCACTCTTCAGAACTGGAGAGGGCTCTGGTAAACAAACTTGGAATTTATCAAAATCCATTTATTTATTAAAATCCAAGCTTACTAAATCTAATTTTTAAACCTGAAAACAAGTGCCTTCCTCTTTTCCAGAAGATAAACCAGTCTAAATGCTTGCAAGCCTTCATATGCACAAGATGCTCATGCAATTCAGGCAGACAGGTCCTCCTCCCACCCAATTTCAGAGCAGTAGGCTATTTCTGAGCACAAATCAGAAAAAAGAGAACCACGTACACATGGCGGGCTCCTATGACCATCTTTCTCCACACTGGAGCAGTGTCAGTCATTTAAATTGTTGGTGTTTGTTTGGTTTTGGGGGTTTTTGTGCCCCGACACTGTTCCAAGTACTGGGTTATAATAATGAACAAGACCAAGTGTCTGTCCTCATGTAACTGTATAGACACTGAAACCAGGACCCTTCCCTGATAGGTAACCAGCTCTGACAGAGCTCTCCTGGGGTAAGCAGAAGCCAGCCAACAACATCTGGTTTAGCGCTTCTCCTTCATTACCCTGTTTATGACTCATTCATTCTACAATAATTATTTTCCACGCAGCATTTACACCACTCTTTGGTCAGTTTTCTCGTTTTCATCTCTCTAGTCATCCGATCTTGGGCCTATAGGAGCCTCTTTCACTCAAACGGAAAAGGAGCAATTTGCCGACCATATGCCAGGCACCGCACTCGGTATTTTTACCTAGATTATTTCATATGATCTTTGCACCACCTGGAGGAGCAGGTATTCATCTCCCTGTCTTACAGATGAAGACGCTGACATGTGAAGAAGTTCAGAAACAAGCCCAAGTTAAAAACAGCAAAGTGAGGACCATGTGCAAGACCCAGTCTCTATAGAAGGCTGCCTGTCATTTACCAATTCTAAAAGTCCCTAACAGAATCCTCAGAGTAAAGCCCCAACGGGAACAGAGGGAAGGTTAAGGGTTAGTACTGACACATACCTGGTGAGCACAGCGCCTCGGAGGTGGACTGGGGATTTCGACCTTGGTCCAGGTGTCCTTCCTGATGTTGTAGATATAGAGTTCATTATATAAAAACATCTGCAGGAAGGAAGAGGAACTTTACTGACATGAATGATGCTTCCATGCAAGTGACAATAAGTGGAAAGAAGGACCTATCGCTAGCCTGCAATGGAAAATGTATTTCCTAAAGCAATGTAAATCTTATCAATACAGGGCTGGTGCAGCTGGTCCCCTGCATCCTTTGGGATGATGACACAAAGTAAAACACCATCTGTCCACCATGCAGGGAAGGTAAACTTCATGCTTTGTAACTGTTTCACATACAACTCTGAAACGCCAGTCTTTCTGGCCTGTTTAAAAATAAAAATTAGATCTAAAAGTGATCAGTACTTTTCCAATTCAAAACAACTTTGGAAACCCATCATGAGGAAGAACAACATAGACAATCAACCTGAATGAGTAGAATGCTGGTCAACCTCAAGGCAGTAAAAAGAGTGACCCTAAAGGTCACAAAAGGATGCTGATAGCTTGTCAAGGACATCACATGCCAGTCCTGACAGCTCAGGAGGCAGGACACGTGGGAGGGAGTTAAAGGACCAATGAGAATTTGATATCACTGTTTTAAATAAATTTTACTCCAAATGAGACCCATGGAAATTTGCAAAGGAAAGAAAAAAATATATACTTTACTTTTTGGCCATTGAAATATTCACCTCCGAAAAGGATTAATTCATCTTTCTCAGGATGAGCAGAGAGAGAGGCATTTAACCTGCAAGAGACAAAACCAGCAGATCAACACAAAGCCAAACCATTTGACGCCCAATCTGAGACCGTTCTCTTTTCCAGCAGAATGCTTCATCAGGGATAAGTCTTTTTTAACTTTTGTGAAAGAGGAGCCTGCAGTTGAGAACAGAGCCAAGGTACCACCCTTAAAAGCAGTCTCATCCATGATACTAATACCCAGGCTCCCTGTCCCAGGAGAGCTGGACCTGCACTACTCCCACAGCATCTGGCTATCATCATCAGGTAGTGACAAGTCTAGGTACTCCTACTTATGTGCCAAATTTCCCACAGCTGTCTTATTTTAAGGGTCTATCCTCTTAATTCACAATAAAAACTGCTCTTAAAGGTCCAGTATTTAAGCATTTCAATATATATTCCAGACATCTTCCATCTAGAAAAAAATGGCAAATAATTTTCTACTTATTTTACACATGAGGACAAAGGAATAGCTATAAGGAAATCATACATACATTCTGACCATTTCAGTGAAAAGTAATTGAAGTTGTGGTGAATGAGAAGGTCAGTGACTGGAAAATGCCTTTCCTTCAAAGTCCCCTTGAGTGGTACGCCCCAGACAAATGCTATCACACTAACGCCAAAAGACACTTCTCAGTAAAAAACAAAAAAGTTTCAAGGTCAATTAAGTTGGGAAATCTGAAAACTCTATTTTTCTCTTGGGGATTTATTGTATACAGAAACACCTTACAGGCTGAGAAATTCTGCAGTGAAGAAGCCAGTGTTAAAATAGTGCAGCTGCTGTGGCAAACAGTCTCTCAAAAGTTAAACAGACTTTTCCACTCCCAGGTATGTAGTCAAGAAAACTGAAAACAGTAACGTTCATAAGAGCATTAGTCACAATAGCCTCAAAGTGGAAACAGCCCAAGCGTCCATCAATGGATGAATGGATAAAATGCCGCCCATCCGCACATGGATACTGTTCAATCTTAAAAGAAATACTGTTCAGATTCATGATACAACATGGACAAACCTTCAGGACTTTATGCTAAGTGAAAAAAGCCAGTCACAAAAGGACAGATATTGTATCACTCCACTTAGAAGAAATATTTAGAACAGGCAAATCGGAGGGACAGAAAGTAGGGTAGAGGTCACCAGGGACTAGGAGAGCGACTGCTTTAAAGGGTATAGAGCAGGGGTCCTCAAACTACGGCCCGCGGGCCACATGCAAATACAAATATTGTATTTGTTCCCGTTTTGTTTTTTTCTTCAAAATAAGATATGTGCAGTGTGCATAGGAATTTGTTCATAGTTTTTTTTAAACTATAGTCCGGCCCTCCAACGATCTGAGGGACAGTGAACTGGCCCCCTGTTTAAAAAGTTTGAGGACCCCTGGTATAGAGCTATTGGGACGATGACTATTTTTAGAAATATATGGTGGTGATGGTTGCATAGCATTGTGAATGTAAGTAATTCCACAGAATTGTTCAGTTAAAAATGGCTAAAATGGCAAATTCTATGTTATATATATTTTATCACAATAAAAAATATTTTCAAGAAAAGGAAACCAGTTTCCCAAAGTTCTTTGACCATATATCTTTTTTTTCACTTACCACATTAATTTTCTGTGGAAAAGTAACAAACACACTTGGGAGACAATTCAACTTAGGCACAGAGTACCTAAGTGTCACTGCTGTCCATGCCTGCCTACGCCCACTTTCTCCAAGTCACAGACACACTAGAGCAGCGGTCGCCAACCTTTCAGACCTCAGGCACCAGCAGTGGTCTGAGGACCACTGCGCTAGAGCACTGAGGCACCTGTGCACCATATCCTTATTTCCCCATTAAATTACACCTCAGCCAATACTTGGGAGATATACTAGTACACACTTACAAAACATGGTCATTTTCATGGTTTTGTTACCATAATATGATGGAGAGATAGGAGGTGAGAAGTGACTAAGATTACCAACCAAAAGGTCTTAATCTCATACCTCAGCTCCATCAACTGTAAGGGAGCATTCCCAGCTGACCCTGGGAATCACCAACCTTTCAAATTATATCCTGACATTAAACCTGGCTTTTGGGGCAACATTACTTTAGAAAAGTTCTAACACGTCACCCAAGCCCTGACTGGTTTAGCTCAGTGGATAGAGCATCGGCCTGCGGACTGAAGGGTCCCAGGTTCGATTCTGGTCAAGGGCATGTATCTTGGTTTCGGGCACATCCCCAGTAGGGAGTGTGCAGGAGGCGGCTGATCGATGTTTCTCTCTCATCGATGTTTCTGACTCTCTATCCCTCTCCCTTCCTCTCTGTAAAAAATCAATAAAATATATTTAAAAAAATAAAATGTCACCCCAAAATAATCAGTACACAAGTGGCTTCCCTCAGGGGTGTTGTACATATGAAGCCTTAAAGATCTCAAGGATTTGTTTACTTCAACAAGTCAAATGAAAAGTACATCTACAACAAGTGGAACTTGTTTGGCCCCAACGATAACATGCTGAACAAAGGGGAAAATAAAACAAGATTCCTAATGAAACTTATTAAATGAAGAACAGGAAGGACTTCCAACTCTGGGAGCTGCTGTGTCAGGTTGTTTGGCTCAGGGGCTAATCAAGTCGCCAACCCCAGCCCTCTAACAGGTGATAATTAAATCTGGGTCCCAGGTCATCGGAATTCGGTGGCAGAGCCATCACCTGCACCTCACTGAAGTGACAGCAGCACTATAACCACCTCCCTTCCTGAAGTGCTGGACCCCAGGCCTCCATTCAGGCTGACAACAGCTCTAGGGAGACTAATCTGAGGGCAATGAAGCAAATCATTTCTCAAACAGTCCCAGATGCTTGTGAAGTTAACATGCTTCCCCTTCTCCGAAGGACACGGTATCTATCGCATTATCAGGGTCACTTGGCCTTCTCTCACTCAGTGCATTCTGTGCCATGCCTCTGCACTGCTGGCACAGAAAAATCAGAGCCCAAAACCAAATTCTAAAACAACTGGAATTCAGAGGACAAGAAGAACTGACGCAGAGGAGTATGAAGTCAGATGAAAACCAAAACCTGCTCATTTCCGCTCCTCCCACAAGTGTTTGAAACCCTACAAAAAACTTTGAAATTTTCACATAATTTACAAATTCATTTAAAATGGCTTATACACAATTTATATTTAATGATCACATTTTTCACTATAATTTAAAAGTAATACAAATGAACACAGCTAAAAAGCTTTTGTGATTTTAAGTTTTCCACCCATGATAGGAAATTTTAGAATAGCTTAAGAGCCAAAGAAAAGCTCATTAGGACAACACTTCAGTCCACAAATTGTTACCAGTTGGGGGCTTTCAAACCTGGCACAATTTCCCAGGGAAGCAGGCTGAGACCTCAACTGTCCCATGTTTCTGCATGACGAGAGCTGAACAGCCTCATGCCATTCTTCAGAAGAAGTGAAAAAATGTTTTGTGGGAGCTAATCAGAACAGGTTTTAATGAGGAAAACGTCCCAAGTGCCTGGCTGTTTATGATGACATGCTGCCTATATAAAGCGGTTTCCAATGTACATAAGAAAACTATAATGAGAGTCCTGCTCACTTACCTTGGTGAAGGGGGCGAGCAGGGCGTCTCCACGATCTGAGTCTTTTTGGCATCTAGCGTCTGGAAATGGGCTATGAGAGCTTCAAGGTCTTCCTAAAGGCAGACAAGCAGTCACATGTGAGATGTTTCTTAAACCCTACTATGGGGTCAGAGGCCTGGGTCAGCTACCCACTGCCCACAGACTTACAGGTAGTTTTCTTGGAAATATGGATGCTTGCACACATCATCTAATTCCAAACCTTCACACTCCTCATGAAGGGCCTGCCCCTTAGACAAGCCCACCCAGAGTTCACACCAGCATCTTCAACCACCTCTCAGAAACCCAACCCTCAGCACCCACTGCTTTGCTGTTTGCACAGCAATGTCTGATATAAGAATTCTTGCTCATTTATTTTTAATTTTCTTTTTCCATCTCCCTCCCACCAAAACAATAAGAGCTCCAAGCAAGCAAGACTTGTCAGTCTGCTTAAACCAGAGCCTACATCTGTGGGCTCGGCAACTATGGGCTGCAGCCACTCTGTGTAAGAGGACCTCTATTTTACACCTGCAGACAGGATTTAAGATTTACCTGTCCAGCTGGGTGGCACTGGAACCTGATCTTCCTACCCCCAGTGCAGTGCCTAGTTCCCTGTATAAACCTCCCCCCAGACCCTGAAAGGTGATGCATGCTTTGTGTCATGAGGAAAGTGCCTTTCTATCCTTATTCTCTTCCTGGCAGCTCACTCCCCCACTTTGCTCATGTTGAGACCTGGGATATGTCCCTGCCTTCCTTTCTACCCACCCCCCAAATACACGCACCCACAGCCCTCTTTCCATGGTTCCACATTTCACACTGAAGGCAGGTTAGATGTCCTTCCTGCATCTACAGACACTTGCAGACCATTCTTCCTTCTTCTCCAGCCTCATTTCCCACACCACCTCCTCCCTCCAAGCTTCACTGGCTTCCTCTCAGTCCCTTTAATCATTCCCTTGGCCTAAACAGCCACCAGCACTACCCCCATCTTCCCCCCAGTGTACCACCTTCACCTCCCCAAAACAGCCACTATCTGGAACTGGGTACTCATTACTCTCCAGCATTTCTTCACACTTTTATTACACGTTATGTATCCCTGAGATATATATACAGCAGGTCCTCAAATAACATCATTTCATGATAATGTTGATGAGATGCCATAGGCATTTAATTCTTGTTTATACCAATTAGCACAGAGTAAAGCTGGTTTCTGTACACAGCCAGACTTTAGAGATATTGCGGGTTCCGTTTCCGGCCACACAGTAAAGCAAGTATCGCAACAAAGAAAGTCGTAATCTTTTTGCAGGTGGAGGTCTTACCTTTAATTTGTAAAAACGCAACACCTGTGAAGCGCAATAACACAATAAAACAGGGTATGCCTGTATGTCTTTTGCTTATACACAGAACCTACGGACAATGTTTAAGTGAGGACTTGCTGTTGTTTTCATTTTTCAGCCCCACCTAAGTGTTATACTGTATAATTCTCTTGCAACTTGCTCTTTTACTAAATAGCTTGCTACACTGAATCCACTCCCTTTCATTGTGGCAGACAGCACACCATCACATCTTCTCTATCCAGCCTGCTGAATGAACACCTGGGCCAATCCCATTTTTTTGTTTATATAAACAATACTACTATGGCCATTCCTGTGCTTGTGTAGTTGGGGGAAGTTTTTCCAAGGGAAACCTTTAGGTGTGTAATTACTGGGCTGTAGCTTCCACTTGTCTAGATACTGACAAAGTAGGGTCCAAAGTGGCTCTGCCAGTGTTCACCCTCTCAGCAGTCTATGGAGGCATCCACCATCCTGCTGCTTCTATGTGGGTAGTTCGTTCACCTGACCGCTGTCCCGCTGACCAGCATGTCCCTAACGCCAAACATGCTGCATTAGGTGCTCAAGACAAATTACCGAACGACTGGAATTTTACAGGAAGACCTGAAAGGGGAAGGGACCACTGGAGTCACAATTAGTTCAGAGCTCCTGATCTAGTGTCATCCACCTCGGAGATGATCTTCCTTAAAGCGGGTAAGGCGGGAGGAAGGAGCGGCTGGAATGCGGAGCAGCAGGTGTGGAGGTGCAAACTGGCACTAACGCCCGCCATCTCGCAAGGAGGACAGGCGTTCCCGCCGGACTGTCTGGTTGAGCGCCCAGGTTTGGTTACTCTACTCGTTGAGCACAGGCTCTGCCTCCCGGAGACCCATTTCAGACTCCCTCTTGCCACCTCACAGCGGGGTGACCCACAGCGGTGTACTCCGATTTCCTGCCAGCTGGGGGTGCCAACGCTACCTACTTCCCTGGGTTGTGAGGATTAAAATCCCGAGAGCACAGTGCCTGGCACACAGCACACACTCATGAACCGTTACAAACTGCCCCAGGTTAGGGAGCCGGAGAACCACAGCCAACAGAAAGCCGAACGCTCAGCTCTGAGTGCAGCCCCGTTCCATCTGCAACCCCTGCTGGGAGGAGTGAGAGAGAGAGCAGGGAAAGCAGAGAACGTGAGAGGGGACCAGGGACTGAGAGGGAACAGAGCGCTGGTTACCGGCAACCGCTATGGGATGCCCGTCTCGCTCGCCCCGCGGACGCTCGGGGCGCAGGGATGGGCTGCTGTGAGAATTACTCTTTTAAAGACGAGGCGCGAGGCTCAGAAGTTCAGCCCCCTCCCCACCCCATCACGCCCCTGGCAGAGGCGCGCCGCCGGGTCCTCTCACACCAACAACCGGCCCCTCCAGCTCCCAGCGGAGGGAAACCCGCGACGCCAGCCACGCAGGACGGAGGCAGCCGGCGGACCAGAGCCAGGCAGCCAGCGCGGGCGCAGGAGCAGCGCGCACGAGGGCCGGGCCCGTCCCGCCGGCCCGCTCACCTCCTCCTTCCGTGAGCGCTTGGACACCTTCTTCTCCATTTTGGCGGCCGTCTTTTCCGCCCCGCGGCCCTTCTTCTCCTTCTTGCCCTTCTTGCCCATCGTGCCGGTCCGAGGCGGCCCCGGTACACGGAGGCTGGTGTCAAGCGGCGCGCGGCGCGCGGCGCGCCGGAAGTACGTATTCGTAGGCCGGCGCGCGGAAGTGCGTCACTTCCGGGAATGCGGGCTGGGGCTCTGCAGCTTTATTTCACAATCTATGGAAATGAGCAGGAGGGCCTCCTGCAAGGGCTGGCTCCGCCCCGAAGTACCGGGCTGAGCCAGCTGCCCCCCACCCCACCTGCGTCCTTGCCTTGTAGGCTGGCTTTCCGGTTTACTGCATCTGGCACATTGCTTAGCCCTGCGTAGAGTGACCCAATTGGTGACTTGTAAGGAAGCGACATTTCTTCTACCTGGGACCCTTTTGGAAATGAAATGATGGTTGTGGCTTCAACCCCAGAAAGCGGTGCGTGCACTTACAGGGATTTACAGACCCTAACTGAAGACAATCCTTTTTCCCAAACAAAATGCCCCAGTACTGTTAGGACCTGAGGATATTTTGCTCATCAATAAAAACACAACCCTGCCCTAGCCGTTTTGACTTAGTGGATACAGCATTGGTCTGCAGACTGAAGGGTCCCAGGTTCGATTCCTGGTCAGGTCAGGGCACAGGCCAGGGTTGCCATCCCCAGTTGGAGGCTTGCAGGAGGCAGCCAATCAATGATTCTCTCTCATCATTGATGTTTCTCTCTCTCTCTCCTCTCTTTCTCTTGAAATCAATAAAAATATATTTAAAAAGAAAGAAAAATACAACCCTGCCATTCCGCTTTCCACATGACTTTCCTCAAATGTCCTGTGTAAGAGGACTTGTTTCTTCATTGGTAGAGTAGGACTAATCACACCTCCCCTCCAAGGGTAGTTAGTTTATCAAGCCTGAGGAACTAGAACTGCCCCCTAGGACACTTCAGTATTTTATTCAAATCCTCTATTTATATAAAAGCCTAAGCAACCGGTCATTATGACGCGCACTGACCACCAGGGTGCAGACATTCAACACAGGAGCTTACCCATGGTGGTCAGTGCATTCCCAAAGCAGGAGCTCCGCTCAGCTGACAGACGGGTGCCAGACGCAGGGCTCATGGCTGGCCACCGCAGCCCAGAGACCACAGTGTAGCAGCAAGCCTACTGAGCGGGGTCAGCAGCAGGCAGAGTGGGGCCAGGAAGAGCAGGAGTGGCATGCAGGAGCGGCAGGTGGTGTTGGACTGCCGGTTTCAGCCCGATCCCCGCAGGTCATCATGAGGGATGCCACTGGTGCACGAATTCATGCACCAGGCCTTTACTATATATAATATATCATAAAAGGCCTGTGGTCGTGACTCTGTTATGGTCACCAGGAGGTGCATGGAGCACACGGGTGGGCAGGGACTTGACTCTGGGTCCTGTGGCTCAGCAGGACTTGACTCTGGGTCCCACGGTGCGGCAGGACCTACCGCCTCCCTCCTGCAGGCACACCATGGCCCCTGCCTCCCTCCCACAGAAGCAGCACGGCTCCCGCTGGCTCCCGCAGTGGGCGGCCTACTGTGCACAATTTCACGCACTGGGCCACTAGTCTATACAAATAAAAGGGTAATATGCTAATTAGACCAGGAGATCTTCTAGGAGACCAGATGTCCTTCTGGACAAAGCCATGGTGGTGGGGCCAAGACAGAGGTGGTTAGGGGCAAGCAGGCTGGCGGAGGGGGCAGTTGGGGGCAATCAGGCCAGCAGGGAGGGCAGTTGGGGGTGAGCAGGCTGGTGGGGGGGAAGTTGGGGGTGATCAGAATGGAAGGGGGCAGTTGGGGGCGATCAGGCTGGCAGGCAGAGTGGTTAGGAGCGATCAGGCAGGCAGGTGAGTGGTTAGGAGCCAGCGATCCCAGATTGCGAGAGTGATGTCCGACTGCAGGTTTAGGCCTGATCCCTGGGATCGGGCCTAAATCGGCAGTCGGACATCCCCCGAGGGGTCCCAGATTAGAGAGGATGCAGGCCGGGCAGAGGGACACCCCCCCCACCATGCACAAATTTTGTGCACCAGGCCACTAGTCCTATCTAATAAAGCGGTAATATGCAAATTGACCATCACTCCAACACACAAGATGGCCGCCCCCATGTGGACAAAAGATGGCCAGCAGGGGAGGGCAGTTAGGGGTGACCAGGCTGGCAGAGGAGGGCAGTTGGGGGTGACCAGGCCTGCAGGGGAGGGCAGTTTGAGGTGACCAGGCCTGCAGGGGAGGACAGTTAGGGATCACCAAGTCGGCAGGGAAGGGCAGTTAGGGGCAATCGGGCAGGCAAGTGGTTGGGAGCCAGCAGTCCTGGATTGTGAGAGGGATGTCCGACTGCCCGTTTAGGCCCGATCCCAGTGGGATTGTGCACTGGGCCTCTAGTCCTATCTAATAATAGACAAACATGGTAATTAACCGTAACTTCACTACCCTTCCCATTGGCTAATCAGGGTGATATGCAAATTAACTGCCAACCAAGATGGCGGCCGGCAGCCAGGCAGCTGAAGCGAACAGGAGGCTTGCTTGCTCCAGTGATGGAGGAAGCCAAGGTTCCCTGCCTGACACCGCCCAGCTCTGAGCTGCACTCTAAGCAACTATGTTGCAATCATAGAAGCTAAACAATCCCCAGAAACCTGCTTTCAGCCAGCTTCGGCCTCAGAGCTTAGAGCACAGTGATGGCAACAATGTTTCAATTATAGAAGCTAAAAAAAACCCAGATACCTGCTTTCAGCCAGCCGCAGCCTCAGAGCTGGAGCCGGGCCTCAGAGCTGGAGCCAGCTCTCAGCTCCAGTGACAGCCATAGAAGGTAAATAAATCCCAGAATTAAAAAAAAAAACAAAACAGAAAAGGAGAGGCTGGGAGCTTCAGTCACCCGCCAGCCTGAAAACGGCCCTCAGCCCCTCACCCAGACTGGCCAGGCACCCCAGTGGGGACCCCCACCCTGAAGGGGGTGTGACCAGCTGCAAACAGCCATCATCCCCTCATCCAGGCTGGCCAGGTACCCAAGCGGGACCCCCCCACCCTGATCCGGGACACCCTTCGGGGCAAACCAACCAGTCCCCACCCGTGCATCAGGCCTCTATCCTATATAGTAACAGGGTAATATGCAAACTGACCCTAACAACCGAATGACTAGGAATGACTGGTCACTATGACACATACTGAACACCAAAGGGCAGACGCTCAATGCAGGAGCTGCCCTCTGGTGGTCAGGGTGCTCTCACATGGGAGGAGCTCTGCTCAGCCACAAGCCAGGCTGACAGCTGCCTGTACAGCGGTGGTAGTGGGAGCCTCTCCTGCCTCCTCAGCAGCACTAAGGATGTCCAACTGCAGTTTAGGCCTGCTCCCCGCTGGCAAGTGGACATCCCCTGAGGGCTGCCGGGCTGCCAGAGGGATGTCTGACTGCCAGCTTAGGCCCAATCCCCCGGGGAGCGGGCCTAAGCCAGGAGGTGGTCATCCCCTGAGGGATCCCAGACTGCGAGAGGGCACAGGCCGGGCTGAGGGACGCCCCCCTCCCCACTGAGTGCACAAATTTTTGTGCACTGGGCCTCTAGTATATAATAAAAGCCTAATATGTTAAGTGTCCGGTTGTCCAGTTGGCCATTCAACCAATCAATGTGTAATATGCTAATGATATGCTAAGGCCACTCAACTGCTCGCTATGACGTGCACTGACCACCAGGGGGTAGTAGATTGGTCGCTATGACATGCACTAACCACCAGAGGGTAGACAGTTGATTGGTCGCTGTGACATGCACTGACCACCAGGGGGCAGACGCTCTGACCGGTAGGGTAGCTTGCTGTTGAGGTCCAGCCGATTGGACCTGAGCAAGATGGGCCAGACACACCCTGGAGCCCTCCGGCTGCCCCTCCCCAGCTGGCCAACCTCCCACGTCTCTCCCTGGCCCTGATGGTGCACCGGTGGGGTCCCTCGGCCTGGCCTGCACCCTCTCATAATCCGGGACCCCTCAGGAGATATCGGAGAGCTGGTTTCGACCCAATCCCACAGGCCAGGCTGAGGGACCCCACTGGTGCACAAATTCGTGCACCAGGCCTCTAGTAATGCAATAAATGGGAAAACCACTTGTAGGACATGGAATGCTATGGTTTGCACAGAGCAGCATGATCATGCTTATCATCACTTAGAAGACAGCTTCTAATCAAAGAAATGTGACAAATTAAGGAAAATCACAGGCAAGCATTTAGCAAAGGGAAAGCATAACCAGGAAGTGATCTACTTTTCTTAAAAAAAAATAAAAGCACCGTAGATCTTATCAATTTGCTAATCTCTGATCAACCAAGGAGAAATGCTTTTCCAAACAACTGCAAGCCTTGTCCAGAAACCTAGCTATTTAATAAGAAAATGAAATTTGGGGAAATTATGAGAAGAAAAGGTAGAATAGGATTCTGGCTGCCACTATCTCCAGCACTGCCTGTTAAAGAATAAAAGAACACCTGTGATGATAAAAGAAGTAAAAAAAAAAACAGTTGGAAGCTGATCAAGATGCTGCTGCAGAATTTCACAGAAACCTGGCTCCTAAGTCTCAGACATAATCATTTTTGACAATGAGCTACAAAAGGCCATGTCCTCACTATTGCCGTGTGGGAATCATTACTTTCCCTCTAGTGCTGTATGACTTTAAGAACATGCCTAATCCTTTTATGCTTTTCTAAGAATACAAGGTAACCTTGAAGCAAAGTGGCCCTTCAGTCACAGCACACCTGTCTGCAGTATGTTACAGCAGTCCCCTCTTAAGGGCTGCAAAAGGGGACCACATTCCCTATTAAAGATTTAGAAGGATCTGGTAGATGCAGTGCTTAATACTTTTATTATCAAAAAAAATCTTGAAGCTGAATTGGAAGGCTCTTGGATTATGTGTCACAGTGATTTACGGATAAGGTTGAAATTCTCATTACTGAGAAAGAAAGAGAATAGAACATATGAAATGAGATCAGAATCCTAGAACAGTAAAAAGATTAAATACAGGGACCTATTTTAGTGAAGTTCATATTTTTGAAACTTTAATGGATTATCTTAAATCTAGTAATATATCAACTTTCAAGTGTACTTTTGTGTAGTCAGACGCCCTCTGCTGTCTTCAGGTTGA